ATAATTTTCAACATTGATAATGCTAAGTTAAAAAAGAATGGTGTTACATTTATCATAAAGAGTATTGTAAAACTTACCTTGAAGTAAAATCGTACCTATTACAGTACAATATCCATACACCCACCAGGAAGATCAGTTAATAAAATAGTATATACATTTATGCACCAAATATTAAAGTAGAGATAGAGATATTAAAGAATTCTACGAACTCCTTCCCACCCCTCATTGATTCATTTCTAACAATGTGGTGGATTGTGTTTTGCTGTGATGCTGGAAGCTATTCCCCTGGTATTTCAAATATGTGCAGATTCACCCAAAGGAAACAGTTTTCACAGGAGCACGCAGACTAAGAACAGACTACCAGAAAAGAATAGACTGTCCACTTCTGCAGGAGTAAACACTGGAAAACCTGCTTAATTCAGTGGAACATTTCCAGATATGCTCCTAAAAGGTGAGTCTCTCAAGTTCAAAGGCACTCAAAATATGAGGGGCAGAGAGTGTCTTCTCAAAGTAATTTCAGTTATTTGCCATTGGGTCAGTTCCAAATCATCGCAACCCTCTGCACAATGGAGCGAAACACCACCTAACTCTGTACTATCCTCCCAACGGTCCTTGTCTCAGCCTGTTGCAACCAGCTTGTCACTATATCTCATTAAGGGCCTTCCTCTTTTTCGTTGCCCCTGCACTTTACCTACCTAGTGTGATCTCAAAATAGAATCAACCTTAATGGCATTGCTACAGCAAGTTGCATGCTGCAACACTGAAGGTTTCTATGTGAAAGATACTGAATAATACAGAAATCCTCAAAAGATTGAAGGAATACACAGTCTTTGTACCAAAAAGAACTGGTTGACATTTGACGATTTCAAGAGGTAGCATATGATCAAGAACCAGTAATACTGAAAAAAGTTCAAGCTGCATTGACGACATCAGTAAAACACAAGACTCCAGAAAGTAACAGAATTTTTTTTTTTTTAAGAATACCCATGAAGCCTTGGAAGCACTCACTAGTCTATGCCAAGAAATCTGGAAGAGAAGTGAGTGCTCCCAAGGCTTCATTGGCACGCTGTCAACTTCTGGGACCTTCTGTTTTGCTAACTCCTTCAGTGCAGTTTGGACTTCCCTCTTCTCTCTCTATGTTTATATGTGTGGATGCTCCTCTAAGCAAGCCGAACGCACTCACTCATCTACGCCAGGACGCTTGGAAGACAGTTACTTGGTCAACTGATTAGAAGAAATCCATATTTTTGCCCATTCCAAAGAAAGGTGAATCAACAGAATGCTCAAACTATAGAACAATATCATTGATAATGCACACAAGTAAAATTTTGCTTAAGATCATCCAACAATGTCTGAAGCAGTACAGTGTGAGGGGACGGTCAGTAGTTCAGGCAGGATTCAGAATAGGACATACAACAAGGAATATCAATACGGATTTCAGATGGAACTTGGCTGAAAGCAGAGAATACCAGAACGATGGTTACTGTGTTTCATTGACTATGCAAAGGCTTTAGACTGGGTGGACCATAAGAACCTGGATAACCCTGAGAAGAACGGGGCTTACAGAACACTCCCTTGTGCCCATTCAGAACTTGTACATGGATCTAGAGCAACTGTGCAATATAAGCATAGTTTAAAATCAGAAAAGTTGTACAATGGTTATATTCTCTCACAATACTTGTTCACCATGAAAATAATGAGAGAAGCTGGATTATATGAAGAAAAATGTGGCCTTAGGACTTGAGAAATATTTAGTAACAACCTGAGATATGCAGATGACACACCTTGTTTGCAAAAAGTGAGGACAAATTGAAGCATTTGCTGATGAAGATCAAGGATTGCAGCCTTCAGTATGGATTACAACTCAATGTAAGGAAGACCAAAATCCTAACAACTGGACCAAATAGGTAACATGATGGTAAATGATGAAACGGTTGAAATTGTCAAGGATTTTGTCTTTCTTGGATCCACAATCAATGCTGGTGGAAGCAGCAGTCAGGAGATCAAAAGAAGTATTGCAGTAGGTTAAAATGCTGCACAGGACCTCTTTATTGAAGAGCAAGGTGTTACTTTGAGGGCTAGGGTGCACCTCATCCAAGCCACGGTATTCCAGTTTGCAACATATGCATATGAAAGTTGGACATGGAATAAGAACCCCGTAGAAGAATTGATGCATTTGAATTGTGGTGCTGGAGAAGAATCCCGGAAGTCCCATGGACTGCGAAAAGGGCAAACCGATCTGTGTGTTGAAAGAAGTAAGTGTAGAGTTCTCCTTAAAGGTAAGGATGGTTACACTCTTTGGACATACTGTCAGGAGAGACCGGTCTCTGAAGAAGGACATTGTGTTGGATAAAGAGGAAGGCCCTCCGTCAGATGGGTCGACACAGTGGCTGCATCAACAGGCCTGGCATAAGAAAGAATTGTGGGGATGGCATAGGATCCTGCAATGTTTGCTTCTGTTGTGCATCATAGGGTGGCTATGGACGGAGCTGACTCGATGACAAGTAATACAACCACATGCTCCTCTTGAAAGTCCAGCTGATTATGTCTGTATGTATAATACTAATAAGAGCATTTTTGCTACAGCAAGATACATTGCACTCATTCCAAAGAAAAGAGACCTACAGAATACTAAAATTATAGAACAATATTGCATGCAAGTAAAATTTTGCTGAACATAATTTGACAATGGTTGTAGCAGTACATTGGCAGGGAGCTGCCAAAATTCAAGCTGTATTCAGAAGAGGATGTAGAACAAGGGATATCATTGTTCATATCAATGTATCTAGGTGAAAGCAGAAAATATCAGAAAGATCTTTCCCTATTATTTATTGATTGTACAAAGGCATTGGACTGTGGATCAAGCCAGGGATAGAATTTAGAAGAATGAGAATTCCAGAACATTACATTGTGCCCAGGCAGACCTGTATGCGGACAAAGAGGCAGCCATTGCAGCAGAGCAAGTAACTACCGCAAGGTTTTACGTCAAGAACATGTATGTCACGGTGGTATCCTTTCACCATACTCATCCCGTCTGTATGCTGAGCAAATAATGAGAGAGGCTGGATTATACGAAGAAGAATGCACGGACAGGTTGGAAGAAGGCTTATAACAACCTGTGATATGCAGATGGCACGACCTTGGTTGCTGAAAGTGAGCTCCAATTGAAGCATATGCTGATGAAGACTAAGGATTTCAGGCTTCAGTATGGATTACAACTCCAAGTAAAGAAAACCCAAGATCCTGAAAACTGGATTAATAGATAGTATCATGATAAATGGAGAAAAGATGGAAGTTGTTGAGGATTTTATCTTGCTTGGGTCCACAATCAGTGTTCACGGAAGCAGCAGTCAAGAGGTCAAACAATCTGCGGCTCAAGATTCTTTAAAATTTTGAAAAGTCAGGACGCTACTTAGAGGACTGAGGTGCTCCTGACCCAAACCATGGTTTTTCAGTTACCTCAAAAGATGTGAACGTTGGACATTTAATAAGGCCTATCCAGTAAAACGGATGCATTTGAACTATGGTATTTGTGAGGACGATTGAAGGTACCACAGACTGCCGACAGAACAAACAGATCTGTACAGGAAGATGGACAGCTAGAATGCTCCTTAGAGGCAAGGATGGCAAGATTTCGTCTCATGTACTGTCCATATTTTCAGGAGACATCAGTCTCTGGGGAAAGACATCATGCTTGGTAAAGTGGCAAGGCATCACAAAAGAAGAAGGTCCTCAAGGAGATGGATTGACACCATGGCAACCACAATGGGTCCAAGCACAGGAACAATTGCGAGGACAATACTTCCTTTTGTTGTACATAGAGTTGCAACGAGCTGGAATTGACTGGATGGCACCTGGCAAAAACAGCAACAGCTATATGACTTCATAAAGACCTACTCTACCCTTATCACAGCACATTCCACGTGTGATTGTCATTGCTTCTTTAAATATACGTGTCTCACTAGATTTATTCGTTCCATGAAAGCACAAACTCTATTGTTCATCAGTGTATCCCTATTGCCTAGCAGAGATCTACTTAAATGAACAGTGTGGACTAAATATTTACTAATTCATTAAAGCATAAAAATGTCCATGGCAAGCACTAAAGAGTTCCTAATTTTAGCAAGAGCTTTTGGTTCAAAAATGTGGAGGGAGAAGCCATCTTACAGAGAATTATGAAGCATCTTAGAAGGAAAACAGAGATGAAGAGTCTAGATAAACCTTCTGAGGAATTAAATGACAAGAGAAAGTAGGAAATTTAATCACAGGTCCAATAGCAGATGTGAAAAAACAGTACGATCCTAGCAAAAGTTATAAATATTGAGGCAATGGCATTCAGGCTGTCATTGTGGCCTGTTTCCGCTTCAATACATGGGCCAAGTATTCAAGCATTTTCTTATTTCCTGCTCTGTGAAAATAGCAACCCCAAATAAGGTGTTCAATAGACATTATTATGAAATAGTAATACTATGGAGTCATAGAATTAGTAAAAAAAAATTAAGATTTTGAGCACTGAATAAAAAAGGTGTTCTTTAGTATATAAAAAAACAAAAAATAAGATTTATTTTTAAATGTGCCTTTAACTCATATTTTCATATATTTCTAACACAGTTAATAATAATTTTGAATAAAGAGAAAAGATAAACCTTTACCGTGTTGTACATATGAAGATAATTATACAGTATCTGTTCTGGTAGTAAGTAGAATATTAGAACTTTGGAAGCAAAGTATGGTCCTGAACTTTTTATGAAACATATTCATTTTCCCCTTTGTTGATGAAGCTGAATTTATATCAAAAGACAATGAACCAATATTTCTGGAAACCTGCTATGTCTAAAATCCACTAGGACAGAATATGGAATGTTATTTTGTGAGTATAGTGGTGAAGATCCTTTAGAACACTTAATGATAACAGACAGACTTTATAAATGAATATACACCGTTTGAAACATGGTATCATTTTTTTAAATGAAAAAAGGAGAGAGTATGATTCTCCTTACCTTGCTGTACAAACGATCCATACACAAACCACATAGAGTTGTAGAGGGTAGTAGAAGTCATTGATCCCATCTGTAATCGTGGAGGATTAAGCCAGTTCAAGAGGTAGACCAGTAGACCCACTAGAAGAACTGTACCAGCAATGCAGGCCCACAGGGAGAGATCAAATGGTGCGAGGCAGGCAAACATATCCACGGTCTTTTCAGCCCTTCGAAGCAGGACACCCACAGAGTAGTCCATGTAACGTGTTGTGAAGTCCACTACATTCTCCCGATCTGGGGTGATGGTTAATGCAGAAATTCCTATGTCAGCTCGCTGAGAAATTGAAAGAGAAAGGAATACATTAACAATGTGAAAAACAATTTGAGTTGTGGCACTTCCTCTTGCCTTGAGGGAAAAAAAGAAGCCTCAGGCAACATCTAAAGTCTTTTTATATAAACTGAAAAAAAAAACAAAACTGCAGAGACTTCTTACAGAAAAGCTGTGTGAATTTTGCACATTTTACTGCAAATCTTGTCCCCCCAGAGTCAGAAAAAATTACCTTGTTCCTATTATCAGTGCATGTGAAATCAGTAAAGAATATTTCAGACACAGGTATCACCTGAAGGGAACGTCTCTTTTTTTATTGGGTCATTTTATCAAAGGTGTTATTAACACAGTAGCAGAAGTAAAACTTGCATTAAATAATTCTTCCTGAGAAAATGTTCGCCAGTTGTTCAATATATTCTTGCAAGTAAATTATTAAGAAGGTTATTTCAAAGTCTAACCTTGGCATTTTATCTTGACTTTAGATTTTTCTGAATCAAAATTTGATTTAAACCTACTCCAGTTAGTTAAGGAGCTCTGGTGGCATCGTGGTAGTGCATTGGACAACTAACCATGAGGTCATCAGTTCGAAACCCCAGCCACTCCCAGGAAGAAACATGAAGCATTCTTCTTCTTCTTCAAAAAAATCATAACATTGTGAATAAGTGGGAGTGCAGAGTGGGGATTCAGGGCCCTTCCGGGGGAAACTGGACATCCCCTTGCAGAAGGGCTGTGGGGAGGAGATGAGTCAATCAGAGTGCAGTGTAGCAACGATGAAATATACAATTTTCCTCTAGTTCTTAAATGCTTCC